CGCACTGTCATGGGTTTTGCAAACAGGGAGAAGGCCACGGGGACGTGAAGGCGGAGGTTTCGACGGTGTCTCTACATGCCGAGGAACGTCCAGGATGGCCAGACATCCCTGAGACGCGAGGGGAGCGGCCGGAGCGGATTCTCTTTCACAGCCTCAGGGGGAACCAGCCGTGGTCACAGCCCGAGCTTGGACTGCTGGCTTCCGGAAGCATGGGCCCACACACGCCTGTTTGAGCCGCCAGTCTGTGGTGCTGGGTAACAGCAGCCCCAGCCAGCTAGCATCATCAGTGAGGCTTCTGTGGACCAGGAAGGAATTATAACACGAACATCCTTTCGTGATCGTCTTCATCCCGAGGCCTAACTGACCAGGCCACCCCCGAATCCCGCCTACGACCTCAGAGGCGCAGGCCCTCCCCAAGGAAGCGTTTCCAGGTCATGCAGCCTGGAAGGAATCAGCTGCTCCCCCAACACCCGCAGGTGGCCCCCTCCTGCAGGGACCCCCAGGTTGGGGCCCAGTGACGGCCTTGAGAAGGCTCCCGGGGTGGCGGCCCTCCACCTGTTCTGCCTGAGCAATTTCCCAGAGGCTGCCAACATCCAGATTCCCAGGCCCCGTCGCTGGAGACTGACGTCGAGGGTGTGGGGTGGGACCTGGGCACCGGCATTTGGGAGAGCTCCTCAGAGGACTCTATGAGCAGCCCAGGCTGAGGTGGAACCTACCGGGCAGCCCCTCGGGATGGAGGGCCGGGAGGGGACAGCCAGGGGCCTCCCTGAGTGTTAGGGGGAGAGTTGTACAACGAGGCGGGGCCCAGGCTCTGAGATGGCCTGCTGCTGGTGAGGGGATCTCACCTTGAAATGATTTATCCGTGTGTGTGAGAGAGTGTGCGTGCACGTGGACGGGTGTGCAACGGGAGTTCGGCTTGAGTGCTCACACGTGTGTGTTGTGTCCGTCTGTCATCTCGCCGAGGACCCACCATGGAGGCCCTTTCTCCGTTGAGCTTGTAACTCAGTGGGAAAGACAAACATTGAACAAGTATTTTCAAGAATAGAGTTGCGTCTTGGGGCGCCTGGGTGGCGCAGTCAGTTAAGCGTCTGACTTCAGCCAGGTCACGATCTCGCGGTCCGTGAGTTCGAGCCCCGCCTCGGGCTCTGGGCTGATGGCTCGGAGCCTGGAGCCTGCTTCCCATTCTGTGTCTCCCTCTCTCTCTGCCCCTCCCCCGTTCATGCTCTGCCTCTCTCTGTCCCAAAAATAAATAAAAAACGTTGAAAAAAAAAAAAAAAGAATAGAGTTGCGTCTTATGAAGAAATACAAGGAGCAAGTGGTTGCATCTCATCCTACTTGTGTGTGAGCGAAGACGTCAGTTAATGCGGGCTGCTTTGGAATTATTTTGCCAATACGTGATAACGCTTTTTAATGTAATTATATGGGTCTTTCTTATTTAAAAAAAAATTTTTTTAATGTCTTATTTATTTTTGAGAGAGAGAGTGGGGGGTGGTGAGAGGATCCGAAGAGGGCTCTGTGCTGACAGCAGAGAGCCTGATCGAGGCCGAGCTGGATCTCAGGAAACTCGAACCCGGAGCTGGTGACCTGAGCTGAAGTCAGACGCTCAGCGGACCTGTGGGTCCTTCTTATTTAAGTTTGTAGCTCGCTCGCCCCTAGTTTTGATGGGTAAACTTGTCATTCCTCTCTGCATTTCCTCAACTGTGAAGTGAATTTTTCCCAAGTTAACATTTCTTAAGTCGGGTTTGTGTCTTACAGCCTCCCTGAATATTTCACAGGCCAGGGCGGGCCTCCTCCGTTCTTCTGCTCTGTCCTCCTTCATCTCCAGGAACTAGAACAAAGCCCTGGTCAGTCGTGCTTGGGCTCCCGCGGATGGTGTCCTGGAGGAGAGTGTGTCTGGCATTTCTCACAGACAGTCCTGATTCTGCTCCGTTTGATGTGGAAACCAGCTATCCACATGCTTTTCTGAGCAACTTCTGACATCACTGAAGTGTCTCCTGTTTTGTTGCCTGTATCACGTGGGGCAGGTGAGGGCTTCTTTTCTGATGGTTTTAGAGTGCCCACTCTCCCCGTAACTGCTCCACTGGGTGAGTTTATCGTTTGTTACTGAGCATTCGGTCGTCACGACCAGTGAGTGTTTGACAAATGAGTAGGTTATTCTCTGTATTTTTCACTTCCGTTTGTCCCCTCTCTTTTCAAGATTCCATGTTCTTGTTTCAGGGAAAGCAGGTCCTTTCCTGGAGAAGAGGCGCCAAGAGTTTCAAGAACCTTTCTTCCGGCTCCTGAGGGAGGTCATGTTGAAAACCCTTAAAAACATAAAGTTGAACAAAAATCAAAATGGCGGCACTAATGCTTCGGCGAGTTGGATTTTAAACTAAGTAACCTTTTTCCTCTTCTGCACACCTCCCCTCCCTCCCTGGCCCTTTGTTTCTGGAACCCGACGGCACCCTGAGGGAGGCACCTACAGGGGTTCTATCCAAATGGGTTAGATCAGCATCTCCCCCTAAAGACGCCCAGCCCCTACCTCCAGGCAAGCTGCAGGTGTTTGAAGGCCACAGCCTGCAGCAGCCTCCTTTGCCCCGCAAGGCAATAAAGCTATTGTTCCTCTTCACCCCGAATGAGATCTTCCAGTTATATTTTGGCTCCTAAGCACAGAGGTTGGTTTTTGACAAGTGTCCACGTAGACACTACTCCCGAGTCTCCTAGGTGCTGTTTCCCCTACACTGTTGTGCAGGACTTCCTGTGCTCGGTCCCAGCCGTATTCAAGACCACCGTCTCAGCTCAGGCAGGAGCTGTCCACACTGGCGGCTGCTGGCAGCCGGCTGATAGGATCCTCTGCGTCCTCTTCAGCAGCCATCATGGTGGATGTGATCTGGCTCCTTCTGGGACACTTGCTTCTCCTGGGTCCACTCCGCTCTCCGTGAGGCCTCCGCCAAGCAGCCGTCTGCTCTCCTGCAGGGCTCCGAATCATTCTAGAACATGCAAGTGTTCCTTCCCAAAGCCCACCGCTGCTAATGTTTTCCTCGTTTCCGCCTCTGGTTTTGCCAACAGATTCCAGGGAGCTCACCTCACCTCACACGCCCTGTTCCCGGCCAGCTCCTTCTTTGCCCCGTCCTCCTGGGGGATGCTCATCTGAGTTTTCCGAACGGATGAGGAGGGCCATGGCACAGGGTTCCAAGAGGTCACTTAGGGTGTCATAGGATCAGAGTTGGGGAGGGACTGCACATGGCCGGGCGAGACAGGGAGAGAGGAACACGAGCTCACTGATCAAGAAACACGTGTCAAATGACGGTGGCCCCCACAAGCATGTGACAATGGGGTTGTGGAAAAATGGACCATGTTAAGTTCATCTAAGAGATAGCATTGGCGGAAGTCGGTAGGTAGGCAATGGCTCAAATGAAAGCAATTTAAGAGTAATCTCAAGACATTATAAATAAGTAATTCACTGCCAGGACAGAGAACACCGAATGCAGAGCAGAGGTCTGATTTTATGATCTAGTAAAATTTCCAAATGAAAACTCCAAAAGAAAACCAACTTCCAGTTGCCAGGCTTCCATTTTTTGAAGGTAACATATATACATATGGCCAGTGCATTGTCTCATAATTAAGAATGCTTTTTAAATTGAATGCCTTTAACTCAAAGAGGTGCTCATTATGTTGACCTGGGTGTTCTTATTCACCATTAACCATCCCCAGTCTGTAAACAGTTAGAAAAACGAATTCATGATGGGCAGAAAGTATTCAGTCAGTACTCAGTACTCAGCATGACTCTCCACAGTGCTGTGATCTGACAGAGTCCAGAACGTTCAGGCAGTATCTGGGAAGTGTGTGAGAAAAGAGAGCGGAAGGAATCCCACATGGAAGAGACATCATTGCTGAAGGCGTTCCGGAGGTGCCCTGTGCTTGCCATGGCTTCCCTGGATCCTGCTTCCTCTGAAGGAACCTCCCCAGCCTACATCCTGGAATCTTCTGGAAGTGGAAACGATGAAAATGGCATGTCTGCCCCCATGTGTGAGAGGAACGAGGCCACACGCCACACCTTGGCTGAGCGCCTCCTACCTCTGCGCCGGACTCTGTCCTTCCTCTGCAGGCTCCGTGCGCCAGGGCCCGGAGTCCCCAGAGCTGGGGCCACCTGCCACTGTCAGAGCGTCTAGAAGCCCAAAGCAGCCGGTTCTCGCTCTAGCAGTAAAATGGCAGCTGTGTTGGCGAAGAAAATGGAGCGGCCTAACCAAACACCTGCACGGCCTGAAAGGCGCCCAAACCCTAAAATACAAACCCCGAGGCCCACCCGAGCCTCCTCCACATGTACTTATTGTCCCCATGTTACATCCGCAAGGTTCTCAGACATTGAATTTACTCTTCCCGCCAATTCCCGCCCTGTTTTGAAGGCACTTCCAGAGGGACCAACAATATTAAGGGCACACGCTCCCAAGAGGGGGGAGGAATAGGAGGGGTCACCAGGCCCAGCGTCTTCTTCCAAACTCCCCAACTGAGTCAGTGACCCCCTTCTTGGGGACACCGAGTGGCAGACAGGGTGGAGATGAGCCCAAGGGTTCTACTTCCTAGAGCTTCCCAGAGCGTGCTACTTGTTGAGCGGGAGGAAACAGGAAGTGAGGGGAAGGGGCGTGCCCTTGGACAGTGTGGAAAGGAAAAGCGAGTTCCAACTTGCTCTTCTCTCGTGGAGTTTCTTGTTAAGTAGCCCTCATTCCTGGAACGTGTCCTTGTACCAACAGTGCAGGGAGAGGGCGCGTCACGTGAGGCTGTTCTCGACACAGCGACCGGGAAGTTGTTCCTAGAAGGTCGTAGGAAAGACGAAAACAACGTGAGCCTTGAGGAGGCACCAACAGAGGCGAAAATATCCAGAACATTGCTTTTCCACTGCCATGTGGTGAGGAGCCATTCTTTTCTTCCCAAACTGTAGCGGACACATTTTTTTTTTAGCGCAATAAGAATGAATTACCAGAACAATGAAATGAAGCAGACACACAACACAATTCTCATTTCTTAAATTCATCGATTCAGGTGATATTAAGTGCCTCTGTCGAACTGCTTAGAATGCTTCTAGCTGCGAGTCCCTGCATTTTCCTCATCACAGAGCGGTAAGCATCAGCCCGCCCCTGCTGACTGGTCTGGAAAGCACTATGGCAGGTGTAGTCTATCCTGGAAGGGATCCCGGATCCACCCGTGGGCTGGCCTGGGGTCCACTGGGTGGCGGCACTGAGCGAGGTGCCCGTGGCTGATACACCACCCCCAGTGCTTTCCCTCTTGTTTCCCTTTATAAAAATCCGTTTTCTTCTTTTCCATTTTCCTTCCTTTGTCCTTTCTTCCGTTGGCCCCAGTTCTCTTTATTTTTCGCCCTCCTCGGAGAAGCACAGGTCTTGGTGTTTTTTCAGGATGTGTCTGGCTATGCCTTCTGTCACTAATTCTGCCTGGAATATCCTAAGTATAGACTTGTTCTTCAGCTTTGGAAAGATCTAGATACATATGGGTTTATTATTTGGGAGATACGGTATTACACGAGCAGTGTTTAGCGCTAAAATAAGTACGCAGAGTTTGGACGACTATTGACGTTACCAAAGATTATGATTATTAAAGAAGGCAGCATGCGCACATATGTATGTATAACTAAATGAGGTTAATAAAACGAGCATGTTTCCGATTTTTCGTAATATTTTCAAGAAGCAGAAGGCGAAGAAGGAGCAGAAAAGCAAAGTGAAATTCTCCTAAAATTTGACCCTATGGATGAGGGACTCTGCTTTATGTACATTTAGTACTATTTTAGTTGTAACTTTGAAGATCAGAGACTGAAGCCAAAATCCCTTTGAAAAGTTGAAAGTAAATACCGTAGTAAAGATGAGAAGGATAGGTGAGGAGAGAAAAGTGACAAGATTTTGAATATATAGAAAAAAACCTAGGGGGGTTAGCAACAGAAAAATGAAAATCAGAAGGCATGGGTGTGACAAGAGAAGACACAGAGAAGTACGTGAACACCTAAAATACGTTAAATTTGCTTATTAGAAAACAAAGTATTAACCCTTGAAACTAACGGAACATGGTGTGTCAACTATAATCAAATAAACAACAAAGTCTTAGATTTTGTTATGGAAGTAAAATTCCATCACACACTTTTCAGAGAACACCTATACTGCAAAGGAAAACTGAAATATTAAATTAATTATTCAATTAATATCAAATTAAAATATTTGCGGGTTGCCGGGGAGGCTCAGTTGGTTGAGTATCTGACTTTGGCTCAGGTCATGATCTGACAGTTCATGAACTCAAGCCCCATGTCGGCCTTCACACTGATGGTGCAGAGCCTCCTTGGGATTCTCTCTCTCTCTCTCTCTCTCTCTCTCTCTGCCTCTTTCCTACTCATGCTCTCTCTATCTCAAAACAAGTAAAAACAAACTTTAAAAAAATTAAAATATTTGTCAGGTAAATATAGTAAGACGGAGAATGCCAGGACGGGACCGTGGCCGTGTTGCCTAACTTCCAGGAGCCTTCATTTTCCTGTCTTTGTAATGGACACAATAAAGGAAGCACCTACTTCAGGTTGATAAGAAGACAAGATAAGTTAACATTTATAAAAGATCTAGAACAATGCCTGGAATATAGAAATAGCTGTATAAGTTCAGGAAAAATTCAATATAAATGAAATTTAATGCATTTAAATGAAAAATAATACATATTCCTTTGGAAAAAAGTGGAAACACATAGTGGCAGTATCCGATCAGCCAAGACCATATCCAACGTGAGCATCAACATTCCCCTTGCTCCAAATTTTCTTCCAAGTCCCATTGACTTACACGGGAAATAATTCTAGTGATCCTTCCAGAATAAAAATGGTATCTCTTGGACAGAATTTAGCATGTCTGCGGACTGAACACCAAGAACTGCACAGCAAATCTGTGGTGACCAATCTGGTTTGTTCCTCCCATGTCACGTCTCCTTTGTAAATACTTCAATAACCTGGAAACAGCGCCCATCGGGCTCCCGAAACTCGTAGGAGAAGAGAACCAGTCTTTCTCTTTGCAAAACAATCTGGGAAGAGTCTGGATCATTTTCAGAGATAAAGAATCTCATCTAAGCACTGGGTGTTGTATGGAAACCAATTTGACGATAAATTTCATATTAAAAAAAATAAAATTTAAAAACAGAAAAAAAAAAGAATCTCATCTACACTGTCACCAACACCCTAGTTTGTGCTGCGCTTGATGCCCTGGGACAGATTCAGATGGAAAACGCTGCCATGTACCGCTAATTAGCATCCCGACTCCATTCCTGAGCAATTTTCGTTCAGCTGTCTCGCTCTGTCTTCATGAGATGAACAAAACCCAAGTTCCCATATTATGAAATTCCAAATCAGTAACCACGTGATAACTGTGTTACAGAGTAAGACCGGAGTATTTATGACCACATTCTTAATGTTTCCCAGGCCCACTATTTGTCATCAGAATCTAGATGTTTCCACTGATTCCTAATAACTGAACAATCATCTCTTTCGGGGAATCCGAATACGCGATTTTTACCGAGTAGCGCCCTGGGTAGTGTCACCACAATGTGGAATTTGAAAAAAACAAACAACTAAATATATAGCAAGACAAATCAAATCTTGCGAATTCCAGCTGCCTCAAACACTTGGAGGCCCCTGCCGGCATGGACAGACACGCCGTGAAGCATTCATGTGGACAGCGAAAAGTCACTTTGCCGAAGAATGCGCCATCCAGATGGTCTTGGGGTGACATCATCATTTCCTGCTGTGTTTTTACATCGTGAGGGCATCACAAACGCCTTTTGAGGACAGGTCATCGCGTCCTAGCCACTAACCCAGCTTTCTTCTCTTCCTGCTACCCCGCCTCA